CAGTTGGATAGGTTTCGAACTCTGGTTCTGTACTCGGATAGCCATCGTAGCCCTACTGTACAAACACTTCATATTTAGCACTTCGATATACCGACAGTCAACTTGATACCGCTGAAGGGACTGTAGCACCGCCCAAATTTCGACGGAATCAAAGGCTTTCTCATAGTCCACATACGCCAGGCAAAGTGGCAGATTGTACTTTTTGGTCTTCTGTACAATCTGCCGCAGGGTATGTATGTGGTCTATGGTACTGAAGCCTTTTCGGAAACCGGCTTGTTCGGGAGGCTAGAAGTCGCCGAGTCTGCGTGCGAGACGATTCGTAATGACTCTCGAAAACAGCACGTAGACGCGGCTCAGAAGGGAAATCGGTCTGTAGTTCTTCAAGAGAGCGTTGTCGCCTTTCTTAAAGAACCGCACTTCTGCTCCACGCCTCCGGAGTAGTGCCACCATGGAGGACGGAATTGAAGAGCTTCTGAAGGACTTCAAGTACCGGTGTTCCACCCGCTTTCAGAAGCTCCGCTGTAATTCCATCCTCGCCTGGGGCCCTGCCGTTTTTAAGGTGCTGGAGAGCCATTCAAAATAATGCATTACCACGAATTTCGAATTTGAGAAATGAAAAGGACAGAATGTTTGAGATTTTTTAATTAATTTTTCTTCACCATTTTTACATATTCTGAACCTTTTCTCCAAATTTGACCGATGATTGCAAAATAACTCTGTATTTATTTAAATTAGAGATAATAATATTATACACATAAAATTTTTGATGAATATTTTGCAGTAAACTTTTACAATTTTTCATTTTCCGTGTGAGTAGTTTGTAATTCGTAATAAAAAAGGTTTTATAACATTTTGTATGTAATAAAACTGATCATAATTGAGAACTATCACATAAATAATACATATAAACATTGCGTTGATGACGCTCAAGAAAAAAATCTCTATTACCGAGCTGTTAAAGTATTGAATATAACTAATTTACTAGATTTTATCACGTTTAATTTGAATTATCTATCCTATTATTAATTCCCGACATTTCGGGTGCTATACAGCAACTGAATCTCATAATCCCAATGTTATATTTTGCTCTAATCTAGATTTGAACATTTCTTAAGCCTAAGCTTTTGAATATTCAAAAACTGAAGAAAGCCTGGAGAACAATAATTTGATAATTTAAAGCTAAAGGCAGCCGGGCTAACTATGACATTGGGACATCAAACACCTCAGTCCCTCGTAACCATAGGGGATGTAAAGAGCCCGATACGTCGGGAATTAAAAATTATTCCCAATAAAGTCCATGAAATTAGTTTCATTCAATGTCTATTTGACATGTTTATATAGCTCGTGTTAAAATGTATGAAATCATTACAGCTCAAATTATTTATAGATAATATCAACTTCAATGAGACGTTTGCCTCACTAGTGGAATAGTGTAACAAAAAGCTGTATATATATATATATATATATATACATTGTGGCTTAAAAAGTATCGCCTTCTATTATAACAATATTAATATTCTAACTCTAGAAACGATAACATAGATAAGTTTCTTTATATGTAACTAATTTCGTCATAAAGTAATTTAAAAACATTTCGCCGGCTGGCTACGACATCAGAATACTTAAAAAACGTCGCTCGTGAATGACGATGGCGTGACCCGCCGCACCCTCAAGCCTTAGTCTCCTCGTTAATGGCTTCCGAAATGATGGATAAACTGCCTTATACAACATTTGTTAATATTCCATAATTCAGAATAAAATAAATAAAGACCTAGATTAAATAAATATATAAATACTCCTTTGGACTTAATAATTATAATATTATAGTCTGATTTTTATCATCTTTTCTGCTTCTATTAATGTTTTAGTTCTTCAATTTTTTTCAATTCTTTACAGTTGGCAACGAGTACATAATTTTCAAAGGTTATATACATATAAGTATTACTAGTATGTTCGTTATGTTTAGTAATATTAAAGTTCTATTTCTTTTTACTCTACTTGCTCTCTTTTCAAAATATTGTACGTAGGAATATTGGCAGTGGCTAAATTGTAATCCTTAAGAAATATACGTCAGAAAATAGTCTTCAATAACGTAAATTGGGGGTCTCAGATCTAGATTGTCTACTATGGCTACAGGCACTGATCAACTCGCACTCTCGTTTTAAATTTTTGAGGAATACCCACTTCAAAACTCGAACGTGTCCCCGTAAGCAAAGATTCAATATTACCGAACCCTAATTTCACAGATTAGTAATGAAGAACCACGTCACCAGAGCTCCAGGGTTATGGATTTTCATTCACCAATGCGCCTGCCCAGTGTGAAATATTGGTAAGTCATATTATGCAGCTATTAATACATTCGTCAAAAAATCAATAACCAGCAATAAATGAAGAAAAACATTTATCTGTATATATAAAAACCAACTGGTGTCCGTTAGTCTCGCAAAACCTCGAAAACAGCTCAAACCATTTTGATGAAAAAATTTGTGTGTGTTTGAGTAGATGATTAGATTCCCTGGACAGTATAGATTCAAAATTGGTAGGTGGGTGCTGTTATTGTCATTTAGAAATCACCCGTGCTAAGCTGGAGCAAATAACTAGTACTATTATTATAAAGAAAGACTGTTAAAATATTAAAGAGAAAAAAAAACAGTTTAGATAAAGCTTTCATTTAAACAACCAATTGAAAATAATCTTTAAAGATTACAATATAAAATAATTGTTATAGTTCGTAGACAATTTCTTTAATAGCGGTACTAAAGAAAATGTTAACCTAAATTAGGTTTACTATATTAAGCCTAAAAGTTAGGTTTTTGGTTATTCTTTATCTCTTTCAAAAAGTATGTTAATGGGAAAATGATAAAAGATACACATTTTCTTATGTGGTTATAGCTTAGTATCTTCAATTAATTTTATCAAACGTTTTATCTGCCTGAAAGCTATAGAGAGAGAGCTAGTAGCATAGAATACTATAATAATTACATAATAGAATGGGGGAGTGGGCGGAGCCCTTGTAGCCACTAAAATGTCACTAACACGTCAATTCACACGTATAAATGTCAACACGAGATGTGTTGACGTTACAATCATTTCTAAATTTCGCATGCAATTTTTTTAGAAAATGCCAAATTGTACGCTATTTAAAAATAAATATGTATTGAAATCCGTCTGTCAACACAGCGAATTGGGTTTGTAGTAGTAATTAACTGATAATACGACGTAATTGCTTGTATTTGTGCTCCCGGCGACGCCTATCCTTGTACAAATTAAGGTTGACAGCCATTCTATTGTGTATTATAGTATTCTATGGCTAGTAGAATGACACGATGTGAAGCATTTCATCTAACTAGGTAATAACGTATCCACATTATATTTTTGGTTTTGTGTTTGCAGTTGCACTACTATCTACAGGTGGTACATATGTGGATTGTGAGTTTGCTTATTAATTCAACGACTTAAAAAAACTTCTTAGAAACAAAAAACGGTAATTTATTTAAGTTAAAAAAGCTTTGGCTTTTTCCACCATTTGGAAAATGTTAATTACATTTAAAACACTATAAAATAAGGGTGACTTCCCACGAAACAGAATATTTCGGTCGGTCGCAGACAAACGCGCACAGGCTCACCGTGGGAAGAATTTCATCCCCGGTAGCGCAAGCACTATGTGCATCGAATCCGCCGCAAGTCGATAAAGTTCCGGTACGGACTCGTACAAGTAGTACGAGGTTGTCAGTAAATACGCGGACACGATAATCAAAAACCTGCGACCCTGAGAGCCGTGCACGCCTATAATGAAGTTTTCTTGTTTGAGTACTATGAAAAATGAAGTGAACGAGTAATCTAATTTATGATTTTTAACATTTTTATCAAAATGAGTCAAAGACATCGAACTGTCAATTCCTTTTAAAGAACACCAAATATAATGATTATGATTTAATAATACCTCAAGACCTACAGAAGTCAAAAGAATTTCGAATCACGCACCAGGACAAAGAGACACGCTCTGTTGGAAGAGCCTCGGTTCGGTACGTGGTTGTCCGTGGTCATCAGTTATTTTTGTCCGCAATATCTCGTAGCGTGGAAAGCCACCTTAAGGTTCAGTGTCTTAAAAACCTTTCTTTTTGATAGGTTTGTCGTTTGTTTGTTCATATCTGAATCATAATATTTACTAATTTGATTATTAATTTGATTATTGGCGAGATTTAATTAATTAATGACAAATTTTAATGATCCTGCCAGTCTCTTCAGACGATGGGGCTACGAGCTCGTTCGTGTGTATATAAGGCCTGTACGTATAATGACTTGCTTGAGTAAAGATAATGCTCACTGTAAAATTATTGAAGTCACTCAAGCGAGTGGACCATTCGAATCGTAAAAAGCACTTACGGGCGCCGCTGGTGGCGCTTTCCACGCTACCGACAAATGTTCAATCGATGTTGAAATTCCAATTCTACGGAGTACGGAGTATAGCATACATAGTTAAGCGATATTAATGTGTTATTCCTCAAATAACGCGTATATAAATAAATACGTTAAGTTATTTGGTATATAGATAACAAATACTATATAAATACTAAAATCTGTTTTGTTTATTATATCTACTATTCTAGTAATACATACTATAGTTAGTATATATATATATATATATATATATATATATATATATATATAATATTGTTAGAAAAAATATTATGATAATTTGTCGGACACAAATTAAACAAGGTTAATTATGACAATCTCAAAATAGCTCTTCTACATTTTATGACTACAACATATTTCATATTTTTCATCTAGAACAAAAGTACGTTAAATACCTCTTGAACTTGAAAAAAATCTAGAATACCATTTACAGAATAATTTGAAATATTAAAAAACAATCTCTAATTTAAATGTTATTTTCATTAATTCAACAAAACTTGCATTTACATTAGCAGTTTAAAATAATAACATTACATTACGAGAGAAGGTATATTAAAAACAATCTATTTAGGTAATCCTACCTGTAAAGGGTGCCATCCTGGCGATTGCTTAGCGCAGTCACTGAATAATAAATGCAGCGGGCAAGGTTATGTTTTAATAGTTCTTGGAATGTGCAGTATTGACTCGTCCTCAATTCTGACACAACGTCACGATATTTATAATAAAGCTTTATGCCATTTAACGAGGTTATAATAGTAAAAGTACGATAAGGTGTGTGATGTGTGACGGCTATTGCGAACGTGCAAACCGAGCGAGGTTCACTGCAAAGTGATCGCGTGCTCGCGTGGCTCTACGTAATGTCGGCGCCCGCCCTCCCGCTGCCGTTGCAGGCTTGGGCGGCTTTCCATGGTAAATAACGTTGTATAAATAGCGACTTGTATCATGCTTTGTACGCATTATTTTTTTTCTCGCTCAATAACGTTGAATCTTAAGATTAATTTCACCGTAAATTTAATATACATATTATACCTATATCTATACATATTGTACCTATATCCTTCCTATTTATATAAAATTTCCCACATTAATTGTCCACTACGTGTTTAACGCCACAATCGATTCTATGTTGCCACAAATATAAACAAATGTAACAAAATTATATTCTAAACGTAACATACGACAACTACGTTTACGAAATACGTTTGCTGCTTTACTGCCGTAAATACGCTTCAGTCGGTAGTAATTCATTTAGGATTAGGCACCAATAAATTTTGTATAGCTTGTATTGCATACCTCGAAGAGGAAGTGCTCTATTATCAAGACTTCCAGAGTCGCCCTCTAGTTTGAATTAATAACAAGGAACAAAAGTTAAAAGATGTCGTTCTAGAGCTTTTTATGGAAATGGTTACCTGCTCTGCTTGTTCAGAGAGTGTAACTTCTAGCTCCGGATAGATGGCATTAAACTCAAAATTTAATTTACATGTATTTAATATAAAATAACAAAACGTTTTTTTCTATATATCATGATGATGTTATTTATCTAACATGGGAATATTAAAAAAAAATCTTCTACAAACGTTAATAAATACGCAAAAGCTTTCTGGAAAAAGGGCAACAACCTTAAGATAACGAATCGTTATTCAGGTCACGTGCCTTGTCCCACTACACGTACGTCAGAAGCTTCTGTAGTTAGAGAAGAATTTAAGGACAAAACGTACAAAGGCAATCAACAGACTCCCATCTTATTTAAAAAATACGCCGGTTAAAACAATAGGTTATTTTTTTCTTTTAATACGGAAAAAACCATAGAGCCATGCTACAGTTATATTATGGTTGTAGCACTAATGGGTCGGAGGAAGGACCAACCTCTCACAGAATACCAGCGTAAATAGTAGCATAATAGGCCTGTGGTTTGTATGAAGTATGAAGAAAACCGGAGACTCTTTTTACTGAAAACGAGGCACTACAACTTAGTCCTATTAGTGACAACGGATCTTCATTTTGATTCTTCTTCAGTCTATGGACTATGGCATCAACTTTGTGTGAGGTGAAAAATGTAACAAAAATTGAAAATAATGTTTGATAAAAAACGTAAGCTTTATTTATTAACGCTTTATCTTGCGTATGCGGACTACGAAAAAGCCTTTGATTTCATCGAAATTTGTGCGGTGCTACAGTCACCTCAGCGGTGATAAATTGACTGTCGGTATATCGAAGTGCTAAGTGTTTGTACAGTAGGACTACGATAACTAGCCAAATACAAAACAAGAGTACAAAACCTATCCAACTGCTCAGAGATGTAAGTGAGGGTGACGCTATAACCTCAAAACTCTTCACCGCTGCATTAGAAGACGTTTTCAAGATACTGAACTGGAATGGATACTTTATTAATATCAATGGCGAGTACAACATTACATACCTATGCCGGTAGTTGTTGGGAGCATTAAGCTCGAAGTTGGTGATAAGTACGTTTACCTTATGACAATTAGTCCGAATAGGTAAATCCAACTTCGACTTCGAGGTCAATCGATGGATTTAACTTGGCTGGACAACGTTTAGGAAATTGCGACACATCTACTCGTAAGGCATACCTCAAGATTTTAAAACACCTGTTGACAGTGAAAACATGGATCTGAGACGTGGTCTTTCACTGCTGGCCGTAAGCGTAAGAGGAAGCTCAAGATCGCTCAGCGAACTGTAGAGAGGGCTTTAGATGGGATTTTTCGATAACGTCATATCTTCTTGTCAGGTATACCTGTAAACCTGAAAGCAAGATTGTAAAACCAGTGCAGTAGAACCAGATGAACCGACATAGCCCAACGGACTAATAAGCTGAAGTGGCAATGGGATGGCTTGGAGAACCGGCAATCGATGGGGAAGAAAGGTTATCGAGTGGCAGTCTCGTACCAGTAGGCGAAGTGTAATGCGGCCCCCACTAGACAAAGTGATGACCGGATAAGGTGTGCAGGAAATCGATGGATGCAAGTGGCTCAGGACCGTGATTTGTAACATTACCAAGGTAAGGACTATGGCCAGTAATGCCAGCCAGTAATGGCTGTAATGAAAGAAAAAAGTAATATTATTGAAGTTATACTTACTAATTAAAAAGACTGTTAATGTATTCCACCCTCTGACCTATTTCTGCCACCAACAAACCTAATTGATAAGCTGAAAAAATTAGTGTACGTGCCCTACAGAAGCGATCAAACCAAGGCTAAGATCTGTATTCAATGGGTACCACGGTAAAAATGGAATAAATAGTTCCATTCCTTGTAGCACCACATGAGTGACAGAGTCAGCAACATCGCTGCATAATTCGGCGGGAATCAAACCCGCCCAAGGGTAGAATGCAAAGAAAGACCGCATTCGCCAACGCCAATACGCCAACTTGTAATGCCCAACACGGCGGCAGCGTGAAAAACGCAACCGCAGAGGGAGTGTGGTGCCACTCCGAATCAGACAATCGTCCAAAGAGCCGAGAGGGGCGTCGAAGGAAACCTGATTTCAAAGTAACCAGTTGTGTAAGACCATACGCCAAGGCAAATACATAAACAGATCTCCCGGCATGATCGGTTAAACGTAAACCGAGCCATTCGGCGTGGTGATCGTTAAAATCGCCAAGTATCACGTGCTCTGCGGATCCTAATTGATAAAAATTATCTCTTTAGTGATGATTTTTTTTTGATTTACAGTGTTCTTTCAGATCACGATATCCAATAGTTTAAATTAAAAAAATATCACAGTATCAACCATTAACTAAATAATTTATCTTTTAATATACATATGTTAATATAAATATTTATTTTTATTATGTACATTTTAATTGATATACTATTTAAAGAAAATTTGAAAATTCAAATGACAGGAAAATGTGTACCTAATAATTTATATTTAAAATATTATATACACATAATATATAAAATATTATATAAACATGATCATTGTTTAATAATGTAATAAATTTGCATAGTCATATAATAATATTGTTACGAGCTTGGGGTTTGATACAATTAAAAACTGGCGAGTGAATTATCTAAATTGACACTTTAATTACAGAATACTAATTACGACTTGAAACCTTTGTTATTAGTGTAATAACAAAACACAATTATACTGTAATGTACAATTGTATGTGTACTACCGATCACTTTAGTTCGCAGTTGTATCGCTCCGAAATATTCACTGTATCGCCAATTCAATACTGACCCTATACTGGTCTTATATAAGGTCTCAGATAGCTACAGAACCTTCTACCTTCTTTCTTCTTTAGAAGAAACATCTAGAATGTTTTAGTTCATAACGATCCCGGTTGAGAAAGTGTCGATAGTTCTAGAAAGTTCCTCCGTGGAAATTTCTAGAAGGATCTTGACTCTCCTAGTTCCGCTACTCGATACTAGAAGGCGCTAGTGGTAACTAGTGTCGCCATGTACCAGGCATTAATTGACGCACAACACTAATCCCTCCTAAGACATGCTCGTCCCGAGCATTATCGGATGGACGATCTTAGGAGTACCTCTTGCACCTTTCTGTATCCGGTAGGTTACGTCATTGATCGTAGTCACAATCTGCTATAGTCCGTCCCATTTAGCTTGAAGCTTAGGAGATTTTCCTTTGCTGTGAACTGGATTGTGCAACCACACTAATGAACCTTCGTCTAAACCTTTGTTGTTCATTTTGCGGTCATAGCGGGTTTTTTTTTAGACATTTGCTGGCCCGGTTGTTTGACGTGCTCATAAATATTATTCATTTTGTTCCGCAAGTTATTTGCATAGTCGGTCTGTTCCTCCTGTCCTTGCTGCAGCTGCTCTTCCAAACGACGGACCTGTTCCTTCTGTCGGCGCGCCTGTTCCTCCTGTCGGTGGGCCTGTTCCTCCTGTCGATGGCCCTGTTCCTCCTGTCGATGGCCCTGTTCCTCCTGTCAGCGAGTCTGCTCCTTCAGCATCATCATCAGTGCACTTAAGTCAGGTGCTACAGATGTAGGAGCTGTAGGTGGTCACTCTGTGGTCGGCAGCTGGCCGTCCTATGTCTGCGGCGTTGCACCACCAAATCGTCTCTGATCCGTCTCCTACTCGCGTTGACTTCGGATACGGATACTCTCCGTGTCGTACTTAGGTAAAATCGGGATGATTTTATCTCACTTCTGACACGAGCTTGGGGTTCGAGGCAATTACAAACTGCCGAGTGAATTACCAAAATTTACACTTCAGTCGTAGTGTCGCCATGTACCAGGCATTAATTGTGGCACGCAACAACATAATAGATTTCCGACTTGCTTGACTTTTTTCTCAAATTGTATCCACTATTGTTTTGTTTATGTTGCATTCGCATTCCATACATTTATTTTTTGAGTACCTATTTTAATTGATATTCAAATAACATTGTACTTCGTTTGCCCACAGAGTAGGACATACTGGAACTTTATAAAATAAAGAACCCGCGAAATAAATTATTCTGATTGCGATATTATATTCTCCTAATTTTTTTGTGTTTTTTAGGTGATTGCTCTATCCACGGGGTTACCCTGGTAACCTATAATACAGGTTTTTAAACCTACATCGGGCAAAAATTACCCTTTGTGAAGATAGAGTAAATGGGTTCATCCATTCATTCATCTAGATACAATAGTTATATGGATACACAGAAGTTGAAAATTTATCAGGTCTTAAAGTCTAATAGCGACGAAGGTTGCGAGGAATAACTAAATATTCACCCCATAGTTTTGCTCGGTATTCCGTAGACGGCGCGGAAACATGAAGCTCTCAGACGTTTAATGAGATACTGTTTCTACGGGTTGAAATATTAAAACTGCTGCATTTTATTACAAAAAATATCACGTCGTTCTAAAAAAGCTACCGTATTTATACATAAGTTATTACTATACTATTACATAACGTAAAGTACTTCTTGAGAATTTTGCACTTTTTGTAAGCTAGTATTTGACTACTTTGCCACCTAATGGTAAGTGGTTATCAAATTAGTTTTAAAAAAAGGCTATTCACTTGCTAGAAGACACTTTATTTGTAATCAAGTGGAAAAGGAACGATAGAAAAGAGTTACTGGTGTTGTAAATCTCAATTCTAAGTGAAAAAAACCGGCATACTAAGGTGAAAAGTAAAAATATTATGAAATTTGAGAATTCCCCCCGACACGCACTGGAAAGAGAAGGCATGTTCCCTTTCCTGCTCCAAAAACCAATAAAACGTAAAATATTATTATGCTTAAAACGTAGAATTATATTACGTTAATAGCTGACTTGGCAACGGTTTCGCCCGTTCATGTTGGCTGAAAGTTTTATTGCGAATACACTCCGGACTTTTTACAGTGTAAATATAAAATTTTCAACTACCCGACTTCAGTGACACCTATCGGGTCCAAATTTTGTTTTGTTTTCTTAATACTCAACCAATATTGTGAATATTGGTTGAGTATTAAGAAAAGAAAACAAAACAAAATTTGGACCCGATATTGTGAATATTGGTTGAGTATTAAGAAAAGAAAACAAAACGAAATTTGGACCCGATAGGTGTCACTGAATTTTGAACAAGCAATATAGAATTTGTTAATAACTTCACTACTCACTGCGCTACTTTTGTTACGTATGAGTGGGGGCAAACAAACTTACGACAAAACAAATATTGTGTTGGTAAATATAACCTCAATCAATCAAGTTGTTCAGAAGTTAAGCGATTAGAAATGCGAGCAGACGCACTAACGATTATAAATATAAAGATTTATAGTTTTGTTTGTCTAATGGCCGAATACTTAGCCGTTACTCAATTTTAAGACGTTGTTAAGTCTCGGGGTGTCACAGTCACTTTGACTTAAATCGGCACGAGACTTAACTTCTTTTTTTTGCGTTTGAGTATTGGGCATAGGAGGTTTTAAGAATTTTGTAAAGGAAAGAAAGCCATATTTTCCAAAGTAATTACTGTAAATAGTGATGGCAGACTATGTCGCGGTCGCCAACCCGTATGCTAAGCATTGCAATTTGTAAATAAGTAGTTGCCAATTAGATGGTAAAACCAATTTTGTAACTCATACCGGTTCTATAAACACAAGTTAATGCTATCTTTTATTAATTGAGCACGTAACAATGTTACCTCCTCACTAATAATTTCTCTTGTATCGTGGGAGCAGTTTACATACATAAATTTCACAAAGACAAACATCCAGACCCGGAATAATTATTTACAGGCCATAAAACTAGTTCCGTGTGGGATTCGAACCCGCGGACCTTAGCGCTCCAACTCATTGCTAGGCCACTGCGCCACGGAGCCGTCAAATCTATGACTGCAGCTCGCCAATCAAAACCGCGTGTTACGATATCATGGACACTTTTAGTTACTAAGTCCAGCCGACTTTTGTTAATATTTTGTTACTGACTTTATGAGCATCCAAGATATAATTTCTGATCAGCAACAAAGTCTATGACTGCACCTCGCCTATAAAAAAATCCTGCCAATGTGATGGACAAATTACCAGAATTTGCTACCGATTGCCAAATCTGGATAATTCTTGGAATTTTTATTTTCTTTCCTTTCATAATTATCGTCAATGAAAAAAAATTTGACCATTCATTTGACTAAATTATAATTGATTTCGTTTAGTTTATTAATAGCTTGTTAAGTACATAGCAGTAACTTTTTTCATATATAGAACCGGTTTGAACCATACAATCGGTTTGCAGCAACCAAGCTACAAAACTTCCGTATTATATATTTTTTATTGGTTTCTGCTAACTTTCACTGCTAGCTTGTTAAAGCTAATTTGATCACGAAATAAAAATAGCTAAAAAATCGTACGTCTACGCTAGCATAAGCGTTGAACACGACCTTGGTGAAGAAATTAAATATTATACGTTAACCAAAAATGCTTAAACATTCAATTTCAACATGAAACTTAAACAATATTACGGTTACCCCTTTGAAGCGATAAAATTACGTATAATAACATTATTAATGTTGCTTCTTGCTTTAATATGAATTCCAATTTTATTACAAGATTAGTTATTAAAACTGTAAATATTGTGACGTTTACGAAACTCATTCCCTTAACATTAGTACGTAGACTAGAGTGTATTATGAAATAGAACAGCACGAATAAATTTATACATATTACGATATATACAAACTACTATATAGATAATGTTCATTTATATACAAAGTATAAAAGCTTAACAATTTTGTAATGGAAAAAAATATTTCAATGTGTAAACTAAAAATTAACGACGGATATTTTTCTTTACTTGAGCTGTTGGCCAAATTTCATGATTCTAGGTCAACGGGAACTACTCTTTAGATTTTGATGAGTGAGTTTGTTAGTATCAAATTATGTATCATAAATGGCCTTATCTTTTGATTGCGTTGGGTTAAGAAGCTCAGAAAGGGACCATGGACCTTAGTAATTTCAACTTGGCTACCCGGCGGACGGACGAAAGGACAGACAGCAATTGAAAAGTTCCAGTTACAGTCTATATACGTCCCACTGCTGGGCACAGGCCTCCTCTCATTTCTGAGAGGGTTTTAGGGCAAGAAAATGTCCACCGCACTGCCCCAATGTGTGTTGCGAACTTCAAATGTCTTCGAAATATTTTTCCTATTTCTCATACATGCAGGTTTCCTCACGATGTTTTCCGTCATCGCCGAGCACGTGGTAAATCAGCACTTAAAATTGCAATTAACAATTTCATTGGTGCTGGCGGGGATCGAACCCGGATTGCTCGCGTACTGTGTAATTTACAGTGAGCGCTTAGCCCCTGAGCTACCACGGCACTACTACGAGAGCAATGTGCTTATATATTTACCATAGTTACTACGCCTCGCAAGCTGGTTGGTAATCGCATTTTTTTAATTATTTTATGTTGGTATCAGGACGATGCTTCTGCCCAAGTCCTGTGTCATGTTCACGGAATAATATGGGGTAGTGGCTTCTCTCAGGAATATAATATGAGACAAAGTGTATTGCCACATCGTCGCGGTAAGGCAAGAAATTTGAATAGAACTGGGATCAGGAAGCTTGGTCTTGAGTAAAAGATTGCCTTAGTATTTTTTTGACTTTTTCGTCTCGACATTCTAATGTTACACCTGCTTTAAACATAGATTTTTTGTTGTAGATACTAACGGTCCGTGGGGTCCACGTGTGGTAAAGTTCCTAAAGGAATCGTATCCGCGACTGGTTCCTGCTGCTGGTGATAAAAGGGCTGATCCTTTTCACACTCGGTTTTCAAGCTAAGTATAGCCATTCAGCTAGGAAACGCAGCCAGCGTCCTTTGCTACTTACACCGTGGGGAGTAGGACTGTAGTATAATTTAAGTTTTTAGTTATAATTTTTGGTATTATGGTAATAAATATTGTATATATTTGAATGTTATGTAAATAAATAAACGTGAGAATATATGATTCAAATTTGAAACCATAAAGCATAAAGTAACACGGGCCACCGACGGAACGGGGATAGTAGCCATAGCGTTTTTCCCCGACACACTGTCTGTCGTTGCGGAGATAAATCTGCGCACACAAAAACAATCGTCTACCACTACAAAACTTACACATAACAATTAAAATAGTAAACTAACGATTTCACACACACACATACAACTACAAACGGTGTGTAATGAGGTGGACCGCTACCAAGCTATTTCAAATTTGTTTTGCGTTGATTAATTGTATACCCAACATGATTGTAAGCTTTTATTTAAAAAAAAGTCCCACTGGGTTTCTTGCTGGTTCTTCCCAGAGGTTTTTTTCTGAACCAGCGGTAATTAAACAAAAGAGTGACTTTTAATAAGTATTACTTATAATCTTATAACCTAGATATATTGAAAAGAAAGTTTCTGTTTTTGTTTCCGTGATTCGTAAAAATCACTCTTAGCTAATAAAAATAGCTATAACCAAATATTCCACCGCTACGGAAAAAAAAGTCTCACCAGTAGTCTATGAATAGGGTTTAAAAAACCTTAAATATTTCAATCAATACTTTATTGCGCTATCAAATTGTCCCTTTTCACGTCTTGTATAAATAAATTATATAAAATGAAGTTAAACTCAAACTACGCGGGCTATTTGAGTTGGTCCTTTTAATTTTCTCGACGATGAAAGAAAACATCGTGTTTGAAACTTCGGAATGTCTGAGAAATTAAAAATCTTTTTGAGGACATGTGAAGTCTAAACACGTATTGAGACAGTTTGGCGAAATCTTTATTACCATAACCCTCTTGGGTTAATGGATGGGAATAGTTCTATGCTAGGCAGTGGGACGCATTTAGGCTGTTATCACTTTAATAAATAAATTATTATATACTGAATAAATTGTCGGAAAATGTGACGAACGTGTTCTACTGGCCGACTTCGATCATATTGACAACTGAGACGAAAATAAGTAAAATATATCATTTGAATAATACTCTATCTACCTTAGTACATTCATCTACTGTAAATGATTAGCTTCGAAATGGCAATAGTAAATTTACAGCCTATATACGTCCACAAAGCACAAGCCTCTTCTTATTTTGAATGGGCAAGGGCCAGGAGTACGGTTTAGGGAATTAGGGCAAAAAAGTGTTCACCGCGCTACCTCGGTGCTTGTTGGAGGACTTCACATGTTTTCGTTTTTTTTATTATCTCACATATGCAAATTTCCTCACGATGTGTTCCTTCACCGCTGAGCACGTGGTAAATCAGCACTTAAGATTGCAATTAACAATTTCATTGGTACCGGCGTGGATCAAAACTGGGTAACACGCGTACTGTGAAATCATCGAACGATTACCACGGCTCATATAAATTTCATTAAACCTATTATAAAATTTATAATACCAAATTACGAACATTTGAATACTAATTTAATTTGAATTTTTTTAATGAGGATGAGTTGAGTATTGTTGATCACAAGGTTGATTGCCCGAAAAGGATGTATCACACTCGGTCGGGTCATTGTGATTGTGAACCTCACAAACTCACATTTCTTTGCAAAGGGTCAAGCTTGCGTAACTCTTAGTCAAGTAAAATATGACTTGGGTGAGCTATGAGTACCCTTGATCCCAAAAGCTCTTGGATCGGCCACACAATCTTTGAGAGAGTTTCAACGTACACATGATATTAATTCTGCAAACTGATTCATCGAAGTAGCTTTAGCATGACAAAATAAAGTTTACCCATATTTTTATTTAGTTACATGTTTTTTTAAATCATTAATTTACAAAATGATACTGAATTTAACAATTAATTTATCATTAACAATAAACATTTTTTAAATTAAATTAATTATTAAAAACAAAAAACCGGACTGGGTGAAAAATAAATACCTGAGAAAATGAGAAATATAAAATAAGAGAAATAAGCTCTATAATCTAGGTAGTAATATTTTATACAATTTGTTTTGCTCTTTACACTTAATTATTTTATACGCAGTCAAAATTGTTAAAATTTCATTTTAATAATTAAGTTTCTCTTCAAATTACTCACAACACACAAAGCCGTGGTAGCTCAGGGGCTAAGCACTCGCTGTAAGCACAGGACACAAACAACCCGGGTTCGATCCCCGCCGGCACCAGTGAAATGGCAGTTCAGGGGCTAAGCACTCGCTGTAAGCAAGAACACAAACAACCCGGGTTCGATCCCCGCCGGCACCAGTGAAATGGTAGCTCAGGGGCTAAGCACTCGCTGTAAGCACAGAACACAAACAACCCGGGTTCGATCCCCGCCGGCACCAGTGAAATGGTAGCTCAGGGGCTAAGCACTCGCTGTAAGCACAGAACACAAACAACCCGGGTTCGATCTCCGCCGGCACCAGTGAAATTGCTAATTGCAATTCTAAGTGCTGATTTACCACGTGCTCGGCGGTGAAGGAAACTTATTGAGGAAACCTGTATATCTGAGAAATAAGAAAAAAAAATCGAAAACATGTTAAGTTCGCCAAGCATTGGAGCAGTGCGGCGGCCATTTTCTTGCCCTAAAACCCTCTCAGAAGTGAGAGGAAACCTGTGCTCACCAGTGGGACACGTATATAGGCTGTAACTTTATTTTACTTTTACTCGACTTTTTTACTTTCAAATCACGCTAGACACGACGCTTCAGTGGGGCCACATAAATCTACTCGTAAATAATGACTTGGTTCTGCAGTATATTATGTTGTAAAAAGAATTGAAGTTTAACCAACGTTAAAACAACTTTATAAGCTCATTTCAGTTATTTTCATAGCATAATGTCGTATAGGATTCTATTATTAAAAAAAGCGACTTACACAATAAACAATAGTTGTTTTGCGTAATTGGGTTATAATAGCAAATTGTGTTAAAATATTACTCTTCCTAGGACTGGGCGTAAACCAGTGGTAAATAAATTTTTTTTTCAATATTTTAAAGCTGGTAAAACTTTCAGTATATAAAAAAAATCTATTTCTATTTCGTAACTCTGTCTCGGCGTAGGACTTATTCTATTGTCGAAATTTATGCAAAAACACAAAGGTTTTCGTCCATTAACTATCCCCTTTAACTATCCCTTACATAAGGGTTACAAGTAAGTTACGATCGAAAGTAAGTTAGGAAACTGTAGCGTTTATGGGGATGTAGGTATTT